ATGCTGATTTCATTTCGTGTCTTCAACTGCATTTACAACTTTATCGAAATTTTAACGCAGGTATACGCGGGTGATGATATTAAAACAGGAAAGTCGTATGTTGTGTGGGCATATACTCCCAAAGTTTCAGCTTTCTAGCTTTTCTGATTCTCGAGTTCAAAGTGGGTGACAAAAAGTGCGAGCACGCAGACACACACACACACACACCTCTTCCAATATGCGTTTTTGCAATTTGCATATATGCTTATACAGCAGCCGCAGCTGTGCCGGGCTCTTCGATTCTGGATCGCATTCCTCCAGTTCGGTATTATAAAGGTGATGTGTGCGTTGTCGTTTTCGTCGAGTAAAAGTTTTAGTTTCATAACTCTGAGTTTCTGTCGGAGGTTCTCTTTCGCAGATTTCATCTGTGACAGCGCAGTCAGGTTTTTTTGAAAGCAATTTTAAAAGCTACGATAGAAATATTTTACAGAGAATAATGATTTTCGTTAATTTTTGGTACTTTTTAGTACTTTTAATTTTTTTCAAAAATTTTCCCAAATTTTTTAAAATTTGCACTTTTCGGTACTCGCGTCAAAGCCGGATTTCCATTGCTACCGGTACCACTAGAACTCGCTCTACAAATTTGCGATTATCGGTAGTTCCAGTCTGAGAACTAATAACTATGACTCAGCTCCAAACAAACTTGATTTCCTGATATTTGCAATAATACGTAATTTGAGTGTGTTTCCTATTGTCTACAGTCTTAGTCCAAGTACGATGATCGTATGTACTTTTCCATTTCCCCAGCTGAAAATTAAGGAAATTACCCAGATCAGGCAATTACTAATAAGATATTTCAATGTTGAAAAGAAGAAATTAACAAAATTTTGAATGTACTGAATATTATTTTTAATCGTGAGAAATGTTTCGGTGCATTAATTCGTATACATTTCTTACCATTACCACAACTGGACCTCGTCATTACGACGACTGTGGTAATTAGCATAAATTTAATTTTAATTTAAAAAATATGCTATTGGAACGGAACAGGTAAAGTAATGATAAAAGTTAGGCGTGTAAGAGACATAGTGATGTTGATACAAAACTTGGTTCGTCGATGAGGAAGGGTCAGTTGCGAAGATTGTGTGGATGGTGACTTAAGGGGTTGGAGATGGATTGGAGGGGGGAGCGGGAAATCTATCTGGAAACGAGCCAAATCTCGTCTGGGTGTAGGAATTGAAAACAGGGGAGGACTTGCGGACAAGTGCACCCCTCCCCCCGTCCCTTCATGTTTAGCCAGAAACTTGATGCTGAGAGGAAGTTAACAATCTTGAATGCAACGAATCTGAACTAAAACACGGTTTTTGCAACTCGAATCCAAACCCGGGGCATATCTCGAGGTCGAGCCGAACCGAGCCGAGCTTTAGTAGTTGCCAGGAAAATGCACACATCTTGTGCGGGCGTTTTTGCGAAAATCAGCTGGGAATAGGACTATGCGCATAGCTTCCTTGCGCCCTCGTTGATGGCTATAAACGAGAGCTGGGAAAGGGAAGGTGAACCTCCAAGCAGAATTAAGACCGCATTTGAAAGTAGAATAACCCAGCGAATTTCTGCGTCGCAGCCTATCCGGTAAGCGAAATATCCACTTCGCTACAAATACATTTAAATGTGCCCTAAGTCGAGGCCCAAATGCAAATCGGGAAGGGGGAGGGAGGACGGGAGGGTGTGGTTCTTCCAATTTCTTTGAGATCTAGGTATTTTGATGTGGTTTTCCCGCATCATGTACCGTCGACTCATTGAATCGCCCCTGTTATACTGCTGATTTTCCTGTTATGAATATTACACACACATTACAATCTCTGATACGGCTTTCATCTACCGGTACAGAATGGATACCCACTGGGAAGTAGGGATGGATTATGCCGTCGTAGATTCAATCTACGATGAGAAAGTTGGCTGGAGGAAAAGGTGGTTTGGGAACGAAGAGTTGCATCCCTGTCGGAGATCCGATCTCCGATGGGAGCGTCGTTTCCCAACGTCCAGCTGGAATGTCATCAAAAAATTCTATTTATTCTATTTTTTTGTTTTATATAATTTCGATTGGGAGGTGCGTAGGTAAAGGCTGCTCCTTTACAGTGGAAATCCCGTGAAAAGCCAGCCACTTTTTTTGTAACAGCTCCCTCTTTGCAGGATTCCCGTGATTCTTTTTCTACGGGGACCGTTCGATGGCTGTTGTCCATTGGTAAAACTTTTTTATTTCAGGATGATCTAGTTGCGAATCTTGTTGAATGTTTTTTTTTTTGAAGTTTCAGCAGCATGGCTGACGAGTATGTTAAAGAACTGCGTCACTCAGCGTGTGGTATGTAAATTACTATTATAAGAATTTTACAAAAAATTATGAATCAATTTTGTGTTTTAGCGTTAAATTTTGCGATTCAACGTTAAATTTTGCGTTTTTTTTTTCAACGTTAAGTTTTGGTATTGTGTGTGAAAATAAGTTAAAAAATACATGTGATGGAGGAAGTAAGCATAAGTTCGCAGTTTTTTAAGTGAAAAATTTTTCAATTAATGAAAAGCCAAGTATATAATAACTATCCAATATTATACATATATGTATACATGTATATATAGCGGTTTAACTGTATTGGGCAGTAATAATTTTTAAGTTATTTTTTTTGAGAAATTTGTACGAATTATTTTTTTCTATGATTATTTAATTTCTGCCGCTTTTCAGCAGCCTTTTCACTGTTATTTTCCTGAATTATTATTTTCTGAACTACAAATTATTATTGTTTTAACTTCATTACAACTTTTATTGATATTTTTTTTTATTGGTTTTCATTTTTAAACATCAAAATTTTTACATTTTTAATAAAATTTTTACATTCTTTAACAGTGGCTGCTTCAGGTCTTAGCTTGCGTGAGCACCAAATTGATGGCTTAAAAACGATTCTCCATTGGTTCCAAGATAAGCATGGCGGGATTGTTGCCGATGAGATGGGTTTGGGTAAGACATGCCAAGCGGTTGCCGCCATCGCATGCTTGCTTAGCCGTGACCGAGCCGGTCGACATTTGGTTATTTGCCCACTTTCTGTGATCGAACATTGGCAGAATGAATTACAGAGGTTAGCGCCG